GAGCTAAATTTTATTTCGAGGAAAAGTGTTTGGTGACAAGACTCGAAAGTCGATCCCACCAGAGGACGACGGCGGATTACTCTTGGCTAGCAGTCGATTGGCTTTACTTTAACATTCCTTTTGACTCAGTTTTCTTTGATTCCAGAAAAAACGTGCTAAGCTTCAGTCCATCATATGACGGACATCTTCAGAGAAGTATATCATTCTTTCAATCATATTCAAGTTAACGACTCACCAGCTTCTCCCTAAATACTATATATATATATATAAATAATTGCCTTTCCTGTATTTTCCATTGTCTTCTATCCATCATTCATCTTTCATTATCTTTCTATCTTGTCTCTATCCCCCTCGGGCGTCATTTCCTTGAATATCACAGAATCACTTGCCTGCCGTCACCATCCCGTCAACGAGCCTCAGCATCTGGACACCCTCAACTCTCTTAAATCCTACCGCTAGGCCAGAGACAATCAGTCTTGCTAACTCCGGCCTCCGAAACCGATTGTCTTCGGCCGATCAGCAGCTATCCGAATCAGCTGAACAAGCTGGGCCGGACAATACGATGTGGTCTTGCCTTCGGTAAGTACAAGACAAATATACGAGCTGTACTCTCCTCTACTTTATTCTACATTCTAGCTCCACTCGCAAGTTGGATGTTGCCTTTGGCATTGTTGATCTTGTGAAATGTTGGCTGGAATATACCTCAAGGAAGAACTCAAGAGGTTGTTGATGTTTCCTAGTAGAGCTTAATCGACTTCAACAACTCAAACTGCGACTTTGATGGTGCTTCTCACAAGAGTCGAACAGCATCATAATGACAATTCATACATACTGAGACTAACCTTAGAACACTCAAATGTTTATACATAGCATGAAGGATATAAGAGCGCCTTCAATACGAAGTTCAAGATTTAAGCAGTTTAGCCCGTAAGGTGGACAATGAAGGAATGAGGTGGCATGGTATTCGAGGCGAATATCAAGGAATTGTTGTGCTTACTTCCATTTCAAGTGAAAGTGTTTGGTGAAGAGATTTGAAGGTCAATTCCACCAGTAGACGAGGGGGAATTCCTCTTGACCAGCTGTTGATTGCTTTACTAGAAGATGAAGGAGATGATGCATACAATGGACTCCGAACTATGTACGTTCCTCTAAGCCTTCCTACCAATATGACCACGTTGCGAAAACAAGGTCAAACAACGAAAGGAGACTGCTGCCACACAAAAGGCCACACCATCTTGGTCTTCATACCTTCGATTAGTAATATTTTTTTTATCAAAAATAAAATCATTTATTTATTCAGTATATCTATAGATGCTGATGTCACCCTCGTCTTGGAAACGAATTTAAACTTTGCATTTCAAAATAAGCAAAATCATTCTATGGATATACTGGTTGAGCTAATTAACTTAACGGACAAGCTGCCAGAAGAGGCTAAGAATAGTATAGAAAAATAAGTGATTCCTCATTTTAATGAAGTAATTGTTCCAAAGAAATCGTCTGACTTGAATAAAGTTTTCAGATATTTGCAACAAAATCTTAAGGCCAGGCTTAGGGAATCGCTTAACGTTTGCGTAAGCAGAGGAGAAATTGAGAAGTAGAAAATGAATTCAGTTCTTCAATGGGGTGCAATGACACTTTCGGCTTAATGCCTTCCAAAAATACACAAGTAAGGAGTTCCTTTAAGATTGATTGTTAATAGCAAGGGTATGTGATGCATAGGATCTCATGTTTCTTATGCAGGCAACTAAGGAAATTGGCTGAGTATTGGAAATATTGAGTGAAGAATTTATATTAATTTGCTATATTAATAGATCAACATAGTGTTAAATAGGATATTTTGGTTAATTTTGATGTGGTATCAATGTAACTAACATCCCAGTTCATAAAGTTATTGAAGCACTTACACTTAGCATAGATGAGCACCCATAAATTATTGGGGAGGCAAATCTGAGCAAAAGGTGAATCTTAAAACTGCTTAATCTATCCATGTGCAGCACATACTTCATCTTTAATGATAAAGTTTATGAACAG